AACCGGGCCTTGGAGGAGGAGAACAACTATCTCAGGGTGCGTGTGGAGCTCCTCCTGGACATGCTAACAGAGGCCACAGCCCGTCTCCAGGAGCAGGGACAAAACTTGGGGTACAAAACCCACAAGGGACGCAAAACAGTTAGCGAGGATCCAATGCAAACCACCCTTGTAGAAGTTTCTCCCAATAAATAGTGCTCTCCAAATCAATTCTGCCATTAGGATTGTATTTCTGACTGGAGGCCGTATTTAGCTACTGTACTGTTTTTGTATGACCCCAAAAAAAAATCCTTCATGACCTGAAAAACAACTTACCTCTCCCCCCCCCCCACCATAATTTGTTTCTGAAGTACAGGAGACAATTCAAGCAGACCAAAATCTTCAGAGCAGCATGTGCTCTCTTTCTGTCGCGACACCATGTAAACAGGAGATCAGACTGCCTTGAGAATTATGATTATTTTAAATGACTGAATTTGGTTGTGTTGCGCTTGCGGCTGTTTTTCAGTTTCTTTATCCTATCATTGACTTCCCAAAATGTACTTATTAAACTATCCATCCACTATCAGAAAGCTGCTTATTCCTGCAGCAAACTAGAGCTTACTCCTATCAATTACTACAGGGTACAAAGAGTGACTACATATTAGATAGCCTGCCAGTCTAATGCAGGGCACACATACCAATGCAAGCAAATAGAGATGATTTTGAGACACCAGTTGAGCTCGCCAGTTTATCTTTAGAACATGAGAAAAACCTGGAACACCGTGTGGACATAGAGATACTCACACAGACTGTGGATCAGCTTAGACATTAACCCAGGAGTCCAGTGCTGTGGTGCAGTAACCCTAATTAACATTGTGCTCCCCTCTCTATTTGATGGGTGAATAAGAGCTTGAGGTTAAAGGGAAGTCTAGACTTTAATATGTCCCTCCCTCTGCATTGGTTATACAACACATAATCTCCCTGGTTTTTATGTGTTGCAAAAATGTGTTAAATTTTCATTTTGTTCTCACTGGTTCAATT